AATATTATAAACAATTTGTTGAAATAGTTTCATCTTTCTGCATTGTAGCTTGGTACGTTAATCGGAGTCTGTCAAATAAGGACAGGTTGTGTAGCCTTGTGAAGATGGCAGACGCGATCATCGGATTTAAGCAAACTGGTTTAATGCTACTTTACCATAATATTATTTAAAAGAGAGCTCAGGGTATCCAATGCACCCCGGATCACCGGGGAGATCATTAGTCAACCGCTAAAAAATTTTGATTAGCCTGTGACCCCCAAAATAACAATGCCAGTGACTTAGGATCCCCACATTTCTCAGAGGTGGTTAGAAATAAACAAATGTTGCACACACAACAATAGGTTGTGTAAAACGTGCATCAGTCTAACAACCATATAGGCTATAACTTATATAGTCATTATTAATTTGTGTAATGTTGACTTCACCTAATGAAACTGGTGGCCACAATGTTTTCAGTACAAGTCTATTCTTAGATTTATTTTGGAGACCTCCAATCAGAGATCATTCTCAATGTTCAATTGTGGCCTGTATGTATTTTATTGTATTTGATTGTCATAATGGACTCAGAAAATTTAGCCTGGTGCTGTAAAATCAATCTGCTGCACCTGACACTATTGCTGTGTGGATAATCTAATGTAAACACACAATCCTATAAAGGAAAAAAGGGCATTTTGTTGTTTTATATGTAATTACTAACTAATATTTTTATCATTTGTGGGTTATGGATAAAATATGGTCATTCTAACAGTTTAATAGAATTTATTTGACTTTTGGAAATCACCAAGCGACCCTCGGTCATTGTCCCGTGACCCCAATATTGGCAATCACTGATACAATACACAATGTTAGGCCGTTGAAATAAGAAATAGTAAATAACGCATTTTATATATATATATATATATATATATATATATATATATATATATATATATATATGTATGTATATATATATATATATATATGTGTGTGTGTGTGTGTGTGTGTGTGTTTGAATATAATTTTAGATGAATAAGAAATAAATAAATTAAATGATAATATTAAATTAAAAATCTTGTATATTTTCACTTTTTCCCTCATTATTGATGATTGTCAGAAACTGGAATTATATTTTATATAAAATTTAAAGCAAAGACTGAAAAACTAATTAAGATACAGTAAATAGAGCACAAAAGTCCAGTTTAAATTTCATTTTTGTTAGGAGAGAAACTTAACAATAACTGACAATAAGTTTAATAAACGGCTCTGATATTTTTAGTTGATTATACTAGCTTTTTTACCCATCTGTTCAGATTATATCAGCTTAGTTTTAAACCAGTTGTGTTGAATACCCTAATAATTGCCCAAAAACTACATTAACCATATTGATTTACAAAATATTCCACCAATCATTATGTAGCAATGAGCAAAGAGTGCCAGAAAAAAATCTTTAGCTCCGCCTATTTCCATTAAGTTTACTTTCAGAAAAAAAGTTAGAAAAGCTTCATGTGTTGGTACTTTTTCAGCACTATTACACTATAAATGTGCTCACTATTAAAATAACTTTCCTTAGAGGGATTGAGTAATAATCAATTATTAACTAATGTAAAAATACTGTTCTTCAAGATAAGTATACAGGGAAACTTGGAAGCAAAATATCAAGGGCATATCATGTAGGTCTGTTCTGAAGTCTTGTCAAAGTCCCATCTTTGACACTGGTTTTAAAGTGCTAAATGTTAGTGTATCAGTTTTATTAATTTCCAGCTCTAATGTTGACTAAAAATTGGTTTCAGATTTCATTTTCTGCTGTTTTAGGCAGATTTTATTTAAGTTATTTCTAGCATCCCTCTTGTTGTTATTGGGTATTTATGGAGTCACTGTTACGTCTTGCCCCATAAACTTCCACTCTAAATGCATTACTGTGCAAACATCATTTCTTCAGTTTATAAACTGATATTGTCACCTTGGAATTTTAAGGTTCTATCTGCATTCTGAATAATTTTGAGAAATTGAGCTTCAAGGTTTTTCATTCCATAGCAAACAGTATGTGTGTAACATTTGTTTTTTACATAAGTCTTAATGTAATCAACCTAAAAAACATCCCATACTGTAAATAAGTTGTCAAATAATAATACAGTTGAAACCAGAAGCTTACATACACTGTAAAAAAGGCATATAACCATTTTAAAAAGTCAGATGTTAATGTGATTAATCTTTTTCAAATTTTTATGCTCAAATTTGTTATGCTTAATAGCAGAATAATGAGATGTATATATATATTTTTAAAATTGATATAAGTTTTCTTGAAAGTCAAGTTTGCATACAATAAGATTATTATCCCTCTGAAAAGCTCAGATGATGATGTCAAGGTTTTGTAAGTTTCTGATTGGCTAATTGACAACATTTGAGTTAATTGGAGGCACAACTGTGGAATAGTATTTAAGGAAAACCTCAAACACACTGCTTACTTGTGTGACAACATGGGAAAATCAACAAATTATAATCAACAAAAAATACATCACAATTTGCTAAATTACACTGAGAAAAAGAATAGTTTTTGGAGACATGTGCTGTGGTCTGGAACTAGGATTAAACTGACTAAAGTCATCCATGTTTGGAAGAACCTTAAACTGTCAACAGTTGTGACCCCGGGTACATTTCTGGAAACTGAGATTGATACATCAACTTAAAGCTTTCCATTGGTGGACGGTGGTTAGGACAACATTTAGCTGAGATTCAACTACTGGAAGTTCTGGAATCTCAGGGTTTGAAAAAAAAATGTAATATTGAGAAATTTGACTTGAAAGTTGTCCAAAAGAAGTGCTTAGAAATGCACTTGAGGTTGGTTGTCAAATGTATGCAGATGACACAATTATTTATGTAACAGCAGGAACTTCACAGAAGGCTGCAGAAATGTTAACCAAAGGAACTGGTTTGTATTTCCCTGTGGCTGCAGGACAACTGTTTAACTCTAAACTATAACAAAACAGTTTAAATGTGTTTTTCCTTTAAAAAACAGTACTGGATATATTTAAAATCCAAATTGACCAAAAGGAAATCAAGGAAGTTAGTGAATTAAGACAAATTTAAACTGCTTTTGTATGATAAGACCATATATCTCCTAAAGCAGCGCAAATGTTTGTGCATGCTATAATATTATCACGTATGTCTTACTGTGCAATAATCTGTGGTCATGCTACTCAGTTAGTTGTTAAGGCTGTAATGTCACTTTACAAACAAACTTTAAAAGTAATGGATCAGAAACTAGTAAAATGGCACCATTGTCAAATTCTTAAATATATAACTTAAGTTTTGATGTTTTTTTTAAAGTTCTCTTTTCTAAAAAAAAAAAAACTCGTCTAAGTGTATACATGATCTTGCACCTAATGTAGTCTGTGAGTTGATACATAAATTCAGCAGTGATGGGACGAAAACTAGAGGGGCAGTAACGCAGTCGGAGTGGGACTCCTTTTCAGCCCTGGAGTTTCAAGCCTTAGACTGGCCCACCTCAGTTCACGACTGACGATATTTCTAATGACAGTTTCACGTCTTTTTCAAGAAAACAGCTGCTTTAGAACTTCAAATGTTTTTCATAAATATGAGAACCGTAAAGAGTAGCTAAATCTCCAACACTATTCTTTAAAACATCACAATATCCTTTTCTGCAATATCTGCATATACATTCTGTGCAAGACATTCAGTGCTATGTAATGGTGGTTACAAAAAATAAAAAATATGTACACCTACACAAGTAACTCAATCAGTATTATATGTCTTAACAGTAAAAATGAAAAAAATTATAATAATAATAATTAGGTGAGGTTTGAACTCAGGTCGGCAGCGTCGTAATGCAACATGCTGACCACTAGACCATCTATTGATGGCTTAATCTTTTTGTCCCCTTATTAGATTTCTGATCAAGTTATGTCAGATGTATTAATGTAGTGAAACATCTGATTTTAATTGAGCAGGTGTAATATTCATTAATATTAATTATTCAAATTCTTATATACACTAAGGTGCTGCTGTTTAGGGTCGAATGATAGTTACTGCATGATTAACCTGCAGGCTGCATTTCGCTTACGGGGCTGCGAGAAAATAAATAAAACAGTGGAGCTGCTGCAAAATAATGAATCAAAAGAGTGAGTCAGTAGTCAAATAAACAAATAAATGAAAAAAAAGTGCGACTGCTGAGAGTGCAAGCAGCTAGGGACACTGATGATGCAACCACAACTGATGTGATCGGCTCTCTTTCAAATAGACTAGACAAAAGGGGATGAACATGCACCCACAGTCTTGCTGCTTTCAAGAGCTCCAGATTTGTCTTATCGTAAGCAGCACCGGTTGCTTTCGCTTTAACTATTCTTTGAACAGATTATTTGTGGGTGTAATGTTAACCGTGTGTTTGTGATCATCCTTTCATTGTCACACGGTATTTTATTTTTTTTTACCTGCTTTCTTTTGCGTTAATATGGCTTAATTTTTTTTTTTACAATAACATTGCTTTAATAGATTAACTCTCCATTTATGTGTAGTTAACTGTGATCTAGGACCTTTAGCCAGGACAGATTCCTGTGCATATGTTTTGTTAAATAAAAAGTATAGTATACAGCTTTGTTTTAACACATTTAAAACTTGTGGCTAAGAAATAATTGCTTGTTTATGTTTGGTGTCGTCAGAGATAAATTTGGTAAATCCTTCATTTTGAGCTTTGAAAATGATGTGAAATAAAAACGAATTGTAAGACTATGAAACTATAGATAACGCAAAATCCAAATCAAGTCATTTTAGCATGTCAAAGTCATGTTTATGTGTATAAAATATACTTTCCCAACAATAAAATTGTGGGATCACAGTGACTGGTGATCAAAAAAGTTAATTTCAAGCCCTGCTTACTATGTATTTTCTTTTACAATGGCTTTTCCCACAAATATACATGTGTAACTTAACCAGGGTCACGTTTGCTTACTCTCGAGACTCTGGTTGTGATTTCACTCTGTTGTTTTTTTGTCTTGCGGTCACAGGCTATTCTACTGGAGTCCAGCAGGTCCATCCGACCCTCATCCAGAGGCAGTATGGGTAAGCATGTCTCTTCATTCTGCTAATGTCAGGGGTGACGGAGTGCCGCATGTGCAGAAATAGCATCAAATCTTAGCATGACCCCTCACAAACAGCCCTGTCAAAACTGCAGTTTCATTTAGCCCAAAACTGTCAGTTATTCTTAACAAACCGGCTGCGTCTCAAACGTCCCGTCTCAGTTTGTCTCGCTCCATCTGAGGACTTTAGTGAGGCTCTTCCTCAGCAGTGTTTTTACAGTCTTTCTCTCTGCGTTTAACATTCACATCTCTCCCTTTTCTAAATGGGTTGTCTGTGTTGGTGTCTGGGTTTCTCTCGGTCTACACTCTTCCTCTTTCTGTATTTCCCTCTTTCTTTCTTTCTGTTGGTGTTTCTCTTTCTTTTACACTCTCTTTTGGATCCTGTTTGACCTGTTTGCTGTCGGTTAGGTCACCACCTGCCTCAAGTCTGCTAACCAGCCAGGTGTTATGCAAAACAAACCTTCATCTCTCTCTTTCTCTCTCTCACTCTCTCTCTCTCTCTCTCTCTCTCTCTCCCTCTCTCCGTCTGCTTATGTACACATCTTTCTTGTTCCCCATCTTAACCACCCACCCACACACACACACACACAAACATTTTTTTCAACATGGAGTAATACTACTTATGAAAAAATGGAAATCTCTCATTGTTTACATTCACAGAAGCAAGCCCTCAAGCATTTTTCTGTTTTCAGATTTTGTTTGAAAAACTTCTATTTAAAACCAGAAAAGTAAAGTTCGTAGACTAACTTTATGGTGGCTTGAGAAAGCCTCGTCTGAAAGTTTAAAGTAGCTTTAAAGGTTACATTATTTAAGTTTGAAACAGTTGGTATAGATCGATAACTACATATAGTTTAGCAGGTTTTTACAGTGGATTGGCATGTTTCCTGCTAGGTGGTTGTTAGGGTATTTCTAGAGTGTTCTAGGTGGTTGCTAAGGTGTTGCTATGCGGTTGCTAAGTTGTTCTGAGTGGTTGCTTGGCAGTTGCTAACATAAACTACTAGGGATTCACCGATACCATTTTTTTGGAACTGATCTGTTCTTGTTACCAAAACTCTGAGTATCGACCGATACAGATACTATCCCGATACTTTTCCGTTTTTTTGGGGTTTTTTTTAATAACATAATACAATTTCTATAGTTCTGGTGATAAACTCAAATAATAAATCTTCTTTAGTAAAAAATAACAGCCCTCTAACCCTTCTGTATATGACAGATGACACAATCTAACTAAACATGATGCTTGCTATAAACTATTGGCTACATTATTTTAGCATCCGTTATGACATTGATATGATCTGTTGGGGTCCAGCTGATGTTTCCTTTTTAATATTAAGATTTTTCTATGAAATCTGTACTAGGCTGCCACTATTGACACTAATCATTGGTAAAATAACCAGCTTTTTAGCAAAGCCTGATAATTTCCTGCAGGTTTAAAACAGACTGAACTGTCTGAGGCCAGTTTAACTTAAGCATTCTCTCGCCTAAACTCGCCACGAGTGAGACTGAAAAACTGAAAAATTATCTTTTTGTCTGAAAAATGATCTTTTTTAAATGAATTTTGTTTGGTATAATTTGTTGCTTATAATTTTTGTTGGTCAGTTATCTACAAAATAAACAAGAAGATTTGAGATGTAGTTTTAAACAAGATCCGCTTATATGCTTCAGTGCTCACACTGACTAACAGGTTGGTTAGATAAAATATTAATATATAAAATTACAGTGAAATATTCACAGTTTCAAAGAAGCATATATTAGACTTAATTATTTTTTGTTAATGACAGTCCATATGCGCCGCGCTGTCAGTTTTACTTTTTTCTAATTAGATGTTTTAAAATCTGCTTGATTCTTTTAAAATCGAAAGCAGCGCCCATAAATTGGTGTTTTTCCATAGGATACACCTTAGTGAATGTTTTATTTTAAGTGTGTAGTCTTAAGTGTGCTTTTAGTCATTTTATTCCATTCAAAGCAGCACTCAGATGTTAATTTATCCTGGAAAACATGGCATGAGAGTTGCATGTGTTAGATGTTTTTTTTTTTTTTTTTTTTTTGCACGTGCGATCAATTCCTGATCCTTTGCAGAAACCTTTAATCAAACGTAAGGTAATGTAATTACTTTTCATTGTGCTAAAATATTTGTTTATGAATGTTATTTTTAAAAAGCATATATACATATTAAAACTGTAAAACAGACTGCATGATCTAATCGGAAATAAAGAAAATTAGTTATCCATTTCATTATTTAATGCATAAAATAGGTTAGTCTTTTTTTATAAAGTGTGTTTAATTGATCTGAAACTTTTAATTACTCTTTTTTTCTTGTAAATAATAAAAGTTGCATCAGATTGATGAAAACGAACCTGAATACCCGTATGAACAAGGCCACTATGACTTTTTTTTACGTTGAAACAATTGAATACAGTGTCTTCTGTGTCTATGACTGGCAAAGGCGTCAGAAAGAACCTGCTGAATCTCTGTGAATATTTGATTAACTAATAAAACAGTTTAGTGATGTTAGTAATGCATAGAAAAATGCAAAGCAGATTTCTCCTAAGCTCATTAACCCACTGATGACAGCCACTTTGTGATGGTTTGTAAGGGTTTAATGAGGTTTTTTGTCTTACCATGGGATGTTTGGACTAAACAGGAGCAAAGGCTACCTGATCAACACTGCATTCCTCAAAAAAACCCAAAATAACTCTTGCAATCTAGACGCAGTCCCCTCATGCTTGTGATACGGGACAGTCCGTAAACTCCACCCATTAAAATAACAGCTTGATCTTTATACTGTGAAATGGGGACCATGTTTAATTATTAATCGTGGGCCAAAACTATCATTGTAGTGAAAATATTACGATTAATCGTGCAGCTTTACTACACGCTTTATACACTTTTCTCAGAAAGTGCATTAATATTTTCACACTTTACTCTCTTGTTTAAACATTCCAAGTTCAAACCTTTGTAAAAAAATAAATCAAATATTATAGAGTAAAACCAAAGATCGGAACCATTTGATCTGTGTTTATTTTTTCCGTAATAGTGCCCTATAGCCACGTAACTTGTACCTTCCTTTAGCATGTCAAGAAGTCCAACTTTGTGTGCGATAGTTAGCATCTTTTTATGCCTTTTTTGCGCTACCGCAGGTGACAGTGCAGAACGATTCGTCAACATTGTAGGGAGAAAACCTGCAAGCATACAGTACAGCACTTCAGAGTCACACTGCTAGCGATCAAAGATTCATGGTAATTTGACAAGCTGAACTCATTGTGTACTGTACATGACACACCGCACAGAGGAGATTGATTGACAATGGTGTACAGCCAGTCAGGATGCAGAACACAACGCACTAACGCAGAACGCTGAAGAAAAAAAGCATGTCAAATTACACAAAAACAATCTGCGAGGCTGCGAAAAGTGAACCACGTTATATTGAGGGACCACTGTAATGTGTTAATTTTAACAAACACACAAAGTACCTGAGTTCAGCACATGTATTAACAGAAAGGGAGCTTTAATCAGCTATATATTTATATCTAAAAAACGTTTGAGTCTGTTTATTTATTTATGTTTATATATATATATTACCTGTTTATTTCAGGTAATTATGTTTTAAATCTGGTTGTGAATTGAGGCTCTAATTCTTGTGAATAACCATTCTCTGTGGGATCTAGTGCTGTTTTTGCTACATAACCTATTTTTTTTTTTTTTTTTTTTTTTTTGAGGGTCCTGTCCACATCTGTGGGGTCTTTATTTAGACTGTCTGTGTGGTGGCTTGGGTTTGAACAGGTGTCTTTTACATATTGCGAGTCTGTTTGCATTGTCAGTTGATAGTGCTGCTTTTTAACCATAGACATTAGCTTTTTTTGTTCTCAGTCAAATAGCCAGCATTAGTTATAAAGGACTAAAAAACACATCTTTTGAAGTTAGCAGCACCATTGTAAATGTCCAACAGGCTTCATACAAGTCTTAATATGTCAGCTGAAAAGGGTTATTTGAACAAAGGCTAACAGCATTCAGACTAAGGGTATCATGACAGTGAGTATGTGTACATGGACATCAGTAATCAAATGGTTTACCTTAATCTGAATAAGATACTAATATGTTCAAGGTGTTTACATTAAAGTTGCTTTTTAAAAGTTCCTTTCATGATCCTGTTTTATATGTTATAGCACATAATTCGTTTAATGTCATTGCGTCACCACACTATTCACATTTACTATGGAGTTTTATGTAATTTCGGGTATTTCATTGTTAATTTCTCACCTTTAACTGCAGTTTGGCACTTTCACTTTCATTAAGGAGCATTTTTTGCATGCCCCCCTTGACAAGCGAGATATTGAATATGACTATAAACTGCTGGAAGAGTGTTGTTTTAATGAAATTTGAGAAAAACCTCCTCATTTCGCAATGTGGGGGACTGAGGTCCTACACTGACTTGTTAGGTGTAATGTAATGTGTATTTATATAGCGCATTTATTTTGTATGGCCATACCGCCAAAGCGCTTCACAGTCATGAGGGGGTCTCTCCATACCACCACCAGTGTGCAGCATCCACTTGGATGACGCGGCGACGCCAGTTCGCTCACCACACACCAGCTATTTAGAGCCAATTTGGTGGATGGGGATGATTGGGAGGCCATGATCGTAAGGGCCGATTGAGGAACTTTGGCCAGGACACTGAGGTTACACCCCTGCTATTTATGAGAAACACCTCTAACACCACTTCCAACAGCAACCTACTTTTTCCCATGTGGTCTCCCATCCAGGTACTGACCAGCCTCAGCCCTGCTTAGCTTCAGTGAGTAACCGGTCTAGGGCTGCAGGGTGACATGGCACATTTATTGAATAGAAATGTTTCTGATTCACGTATACAAATTCGTCTTAAGGTGGCACCTTTATAGCAATGTGCGTGCAGTTAATCGCTCCGATTACATTGGGAAAACGGCGACCCCAGCAAATTGCGCTTTAATGTTTGGCTGGTCAACT